GTGACGAGAGGAGGCTCGTGGGTAGATGTAATGATAGTAACAAGTAATAGGGAAGAAATAACGGTAAATTAAGAAGAAAACCCAGAAATTCAAGACGTGGGTTGGGTCAAACGATGAGCAAGACAGGAGGATGTATGCAAGAGCCAGAAACCAAGCAAAGATAGAGTGTAGGAGGGCTGAAAAGGAGTTCCAAAGGCTGGTTGCACGCGAGGTCAAGTCAAACCCAAAGGCGTTTTACCGCTATGCAAAGTCGAAATTGAAAACGCGAGTAGGAGTATCAGACCTGAGGCTTGAAGATGGTAGTTACGCAGATTCTGACCAGGATAAAGCTGAGGCATTGAACAGCTTCTTTTCCTCAGTGTTCACAAGAGAGGATGCAACTAACCTTCCTGCGTTTGAGGACAGACGGTTCGACACAGCACTGACCCACATTGTGTTCACAGAAGAGGGTATTAGAAATAAACTGTCCAGGCTAAAGGTCCATAAGAGTCCTGGACCTGACATGGTGCATCCTAGAGTGCTAAGGAGCTGTGCAACGAGCTTGCAGAGCCCCTGAAGATTCTGTTTTGTAAATGCCTGGATGAACAAATGGTCCCCAGTGAATGGAAAGTGGCTTATGTGAGTCCTATCTTCAAGAAGGGCGATAGTCACTCCACGAACAACTATAGACCGGTGAGCCTGACCAGCATAATATGTAAAGTACTTGAGAGTATTATCAGAGATGCAGCGATGGAACATCTACTACGAAACAACCTTGTAAAAGATTGCCAACACGGTTTTATGCCGGGGCGCTCTTGCTTGACACAATTGCTCAAGGTATTGGATATTTGGACCCATATTCTAGAACGGGGTGGTAATATCGACAATATTTACCTAGATTTTGCCAAGGCTTTCGACAGTGTACCCCACGAAAGGCTGAAAATCAAACTGGAAGGGTACGGAATTCGGGGAAATGTCCTAGCGTGGATAGAAGACTTTCTACATGACCGCAAGCAATGTGTGGTGATTAATGGCACGAAATCGTCATCTGTACCTGTAACAAGTGGGGTACCGCAGGGTAGTGTATTGGGCCCGCTGTTGTTTGTTTGTTTCATAAATGATATGCCTGACGTTGTACACTCCTCCATACAAATGTTTGCCGATGACGCCAAGTTATTTCGGGAAATTAAGAACCAAGCGGACTGTGAAGAGCTGCAGAAGGACCTCTGTGGGCTCCAGGAATGGTCGAAGGAATGGCTGCTGAGATTCAATGTCACGAAGTGTAAGAGGATGCACCTGGGGCGTACCAACGGTAAGGAGGCGTACCATATGTCCCAACGGGATGAAGAAAATGTACTAGTTGAGACTGTGTGTGAGAAGGACCTAGGTGTGTATGTTGACAATGAGCTGAAGTTCTCGGGCCATTGTGAGAAGAAGGTAAATCAGGCAAATAAATTATTGGGTCTTATAAGAAGGTCGTTCAGATATCTAGACGGTCCGTCCCTCGTGACGATCTTCAGGAGTGAAGTGCTTCCCCATCTGGAGTACTGTCACCCCATCTGGTCCCCGAGATATGCTAGGGACTGTCAGTTGGTTGAAAATGTTCAAAGGAGGGCCACCAAACTGGTGCCTGCACTTCGGCACCTCAGCTACCCTGAGAGATTGGAGCGCCTGAACTTGCCTAGCTTATACTACAGACGGGCAAGGGGGGACCTAGTTGAGGTTTATAAGCATCTCAGGGGGCACTACTCAGTTGAGTGTCCTTACTTGGAGCTGGCGGACGCTCGCCCCACAAGGGGTCACAGCTCAAGATTGAAGAAGCCGCAAGTCCAGAAAACCGTGAGGGCAAACTTTTTCGGAGTTAGGGTTGTAAACTCTTGGAACAATCTACCAGAGAGTGTTGTGACGGCACCGAGTGTGAGCTCTTTCAAGAGAAGACTTGACCAACACTGGAGCGGGTTCAGGTACATTCAGGAGCCGGTGCATGCCCAGTATTTGCCAACAGTGCGTGACAGAGACGTGACCGATCGCCCGGGCGGCTAGCGCAAGCCGATCAGTGGCGAAGAGGATAAAAGTAAAGTAAAAGTAAATAATAGACACAATATACAAACACAAAATTTATTTAAACATTAATATGAAATTAGGAGAAAGAATTTATATGTACCAACAGACGAAATCTAGTACTATGCCCTCAGGCTCAACATACTCACACCATTACTGGGTGGACATACTCAATAATACTCCCAACCCTACTGGGTGGACATACTCAATAACACATAACTCTTATAGTCACTTAGCACCATAAAGACCAGGGCAACTGCCACTACAACACTCAGTCGTCAGGAGTGATACTCAAGCAACAGCCATGGGGTCCAGCCACCATGGAGTACTTTCCGACGAACTCTGAAGATCCCAGTGGATTAATCCCACCACACAAATAGCCCTACTGAGTTAGACACTCATCCACCAATGATGGGGGCTGGTAGTGGTGTGTGGCTTGGTGATCCGGGGTCACCTCCCAGGCCGAGCGTTAGGGCCAGACGAGCCAGCTATGGGGGCCATAGGTAGTCTGAAGTGTCTGACGGCCGGGTCTCACGAAGGTAACGGATTGTAGTGGACTTCTTCCCTACAACTGCGTATCCGCATTCCAATGCGACAGTATCCTAGCAACCAAGCGAGCGGCGTCACCAGATGTTACCACCTTCCCTAGCAACGGAACGAAAGACCGGCGACTTTCTCGGGTTTTCCCAACATGACTCATAGAGGACTCACAGCTGCTGGGTATATAAGCTCTGTCTCTCCATTGAGATTTATTCTGGTCTCTCTTCTTGAACAAGCAACACCTCCTCCTCCGCCGCTGCCTGGCGGTCCTCGCTCCCGCCAGCGAGCATGGCGACCCACCAGCTGTCCTTCTCTGAGCTTCCTCACCAACCAGCTCTCATTCTGGCCATTCTTCTTGAACGAGCAACACCTCCTCCTCCGCCGCTGCCTGGCGGCCCTCGCTTCTCCTCGCCTGCCTGGCGGTCCTCGCTCCCGCCAGCGAGCATGGCGACCCACCAGCTGTCCTTCTCTAAGCTTCCTCACCAACCAGCTTTCTCATTCTGGCCATTCTTCTTGAACACGCATCACCTCCTCCAGCAAGCTCCACGCTGTCCAGCATTCATTCAACCAGGAGGCCAGCAACAGGCAACATCTTCTCTAACGAAGCTCCTGCACATCTACCTCCTTCAACACGCTACTCACCGAACGTCTCTACTGAGCAGCTCCTCACCACACGGCATCTCCAGCACCAGACTGTCTATCATATAACTTATATTATACAAGAAAACCACCTTAGAGTTTCCATCCATCCTGAGTGCTAGACAACATTATACCACGAATTCCTACAGGATCCTACTGGACCTAGGACATCTCCCCAGACATAGTGGATACAACATCCACTCTACAGACACGGCCTAGGCTGCGTTAGGGACCTGTATGGGTGAAGGGACGGACACTTACTAACGGTAGAAATGCCCACGGCACCCACTCAAAATATGCCAGGGAGTCCACCTACTTCTATTTCGATGAATTAATTTACTGTACACTCTGACTTTGAAACTGAGACTATGAACTCAGTTTCATTCCCTACTATTATCCTCACTAACAATGCTCTGACTCAGCTATCAAAAGCAAAATTAAATTGATTACAAAGGGTTGGATGGCAACAGGTCCCAACATACAGCGTCTGCTACGAAATCCGCGGATTATATTCAAAGTTCCCTTAAGACAAAGGCGGGGAAACAGAGAAAACGGGGGACGTTTCCACTGGGGGACTCGGAAGGCTTTGTGGACGTTTGAGCGTAATATGAATCCTTAAGGTTTCCAGGTTAGCCGTCATCACGATCATGACAGCAGTACCCCCTGCCGCTCCTCCTGACGCGGCCCCTGCTCCTGACGTGGACCCACACACCCCTCTTTCCTCCTTCAGGTACCCCCTGCTACTGTCTTGCACCCCGCTGCTGTCGTGGACCACTCTCTTTTCTACCCACTGCCGCCAGCAAGCAACACCTCCTCCTCCACTCCAGCCTGGCGGCTCCTGCTCCCGCCGGCGACCTTGGCGTCCCTCAAGCCGCGTGCCCTCCTCTGGGCACCCTCACCAACCAGCTCTCTCTACTCAACGCTTGTAACCATGCTGCCTTCCCAGCACCAAGCTGCATTGTACATCCAATACAATATGTATATAGAGAGCACATTGTGAGTTTCCTTTCTCCATCCCATCCTGAGTGTGAACCAATATCTCATAACCCCACAATAGAAAACGTTGTCAACAAGTACTTTGATATCAATGAGTCAAATGCTAATTTCCAAATTCTTAGCTATTTGTGACACTGGATTTCCTGCCTTTGTTCCTGAATCAGTGTTGTTTTTGTTGCATGATCAATAATCTCAGGTTCTCATCTGGCTCAGCCATGTTAATATTGTTATTATTATCCACTCTGTATCTGCGTTTTTCTAGCTAAATAAACTGTTTCAACTTAATTCAATTCAAATTGATATGCGTTTAATTTCCCAGCAGGCGTGGTCGTGGTCACGTGACCATACTAAAAGTCCGAAAACCTTACAAAGGGATGTACAGGGTACTGAATACGGATAGGATTATTTCAAGACATTTTATAACTATGCTCCAAAACAAAAACTCTGGAATGAATTTTAATTTGATGACTTTTATGTAAAAGCGAGGTAATAAGTATGGGGCGGGGGGAGGTGACAAAGGTGAGGTGGAGGCCAGCAGAAGAGGAATCGGACAAGAGAGTTACAGAATGTATTTAATGTTAAAATACTACCACGAACACGAACGATTAACTCATTATTACCCATTATCTGAAAATAGATGACAAGAACATAAAATAACAACCACATAATAATTTAGATCGGGTCAGAACAGCTTCTGTCGGTTTGTGTCTCTTGGAAAATATATGGTTTAAGGGTCACGTTCGTGGTTTTCATTTAACTTGGACTGATCTCACAGGTTGTTTTAACTTGTTTATGTGTGAGTCTGTTAGTGTGACTCCATACTTCAAAATGTTGGCGTGGAGAATATTCCTTTCTCTCATTTTAATACTACTATACCTGTCTGCCACTACACAAGGTATGATTATTAATTTCCAAAGGTTTCCGCAGAGATCAAATAAATAAGGTAAGCTGAGAAGAGAAGAATAACTGTAGTCTTGTACTATCACGTCCGCTTTAGGCTTTGTCCAGGTGTGGGCGGTGGTGCAACTCACCTACAGGTGTGGGGGTGGGTCCTACAGGTGTGGGGGTGGGTCCTACAGCCAAGTATTCTCTCCCAGCAGGAGGTCTAAAGGGTCATTCCAATATGTATATATTTTAAATATTTAGAAGCTGCCAACACGTACCTTTATATTGAGCCTTATAGAGGGCCTAGGGAGAAAGAAAAGCTAAAAATAATTGTAAAATTATCGTTTCGATCACGTACTTGCAAATTTTAGGATTTTAAGTTTTGGAATCTGTAGTTCAGACAATTCAGACACTTTTTTCTATAGCATTTCCATAAAAAAATCGATTGTTTTAGCCGATAAAATTACCAACAATTTTACTTCCTTAAAGTGGGCAGGGCTTTCAAGTAGAGGGAAAATGTGGGGTAAAATGCTTAAAAAAAAACGCGATTTTAATTTTCTTTTAAACCTGACCTAATGTTAACCAACCCTTAAAAATCCTATGCCAAAACAAAGTTTACCGGTATTATTTTACTTTAGGACATAGCGCTCCCAGAAGTTATAAACTACTAAAACATTTAGATTTCGCTCTTCTGAACATTTTGAACCCCATATATACCTGGCGGAAATGGATAATAGCGACACAATTGAATTTAATTTATTTTACGCAGTTTTCAGTCTTTGAGGAGATTTATCGGCACATCACGAATGCACAATAGACTGACATCATCCGGCCGTGACCAATGATGTATCGATATCACCACACAAATTTTTTTGACCAATCACATTTGATTTTGGTAAATTTGTATAAGCGCACCCAACTCTGTTAGAAAGTCAAAAATAAATTTTTCTAGTGTATTTGTGTGTGTTTAGACTGATTATGACCTTTATTTCTGACGGAAATTGGCCGGGTTTTTTTATTGATTTTTTTTTCATGGCAAAAAAAAAATAATGGTTAAGCGAATACAAAATACACAAAAAACACTAGAAAAACATAAACCTGGCCTGACCTAACCTAACTGACTCACCATATGATGGAATCACTTATTTCTTACCTTATTGGCCTGGTTCTCATTCGTCATTGGAGTTACCACAATGCCACATACTGTGGGGTTATGAGATATTGGTTCACACTCAGGATGGGATGGAGAAAGGAAACTCACAATGTGCTCACTGTATACATATTGTATTGGATGTACAATGCAGCTTGTTGCTGGGTAGGTAGCATGGTAATAAGCGTTGAGTAGAGAGAGCTGGGTGGTGAGGGTGCCCAGAGTGAGGGCCACACGGCTTGAGGGACGCCAAGGTCGCTGGCGGGAATGGCAGCCGCCAGGCTGGCGCGGAGGAGATGTTGCTTGCTGGTGGCACTGTGTAGAAAGAGAGGGTGGTCACAGCGGTGTCAGGCCTTATAAGGTGGGGGTAGGCGTGGGTAGACAGTTGACCCCCGCTCCGTGGGCGGCGCTGGAGGCATAGGCTGGGGAATTCGAGAAGGTTAGGTGCTTGTAGGGGAGGAATCCACTACAATACTCCCCTTCCCCTCCGGGCACGGCTGGAGGTTGGCAGAGTTGTGTGCCATATGTGAGGCGGAACGGTGAGGGCGTGGATGAGCCGGCCGCTAGGGGGGGGGGGCAACTCTGTCTAGGTACTCGGGATCTGTTGGAGGAAAGAGGGAGAAGAAGGGTTGTGGAGGCGATGAAAGTTGTGCTTCCCTCGCGACAGGTACAGAGTCCTCAGATGCGCCTGCTGGGATGTGTGGGCCTGGGTCAGGAGCAGAGGCTGCGTCAGCAGGAAGAGGTCCATGACAGCAGCAGGGTGCATGACAGCAGCAGGGCCCATGACAGCAGCAGGGCCCATGACAGCAGCAGGGTGCAGGACAGTAGCAGGGGGGTACCTGAGGGAGATGAGAGGGGTGTGTGGGTCCGCACTCAGGCGCATGGGCCGCGTCAGGAGGAGCGGCAGGGGGTATTGCTGGACCGGGGGCGGCATCTGAGGCAGGACGGGTGTGTTGGGGTCGGTAGGACGTGGTGCTTGGGGCAGGAAGAGGAGCGGCTGTCTGCTTAGAGTAGCAGAGCTGCTCTAGCGTGTCTAACCTGCGGTGTAGAGACAGTAGTTGTAGAGCCGATGAGAGCTGCCTCTGCGTGGGTAAGCCAGTCTTCCATGTTGCTTGAAGACTGGGAGAGTGATCAGTTTCTCCTCCATCCTGTGTGAGTGCGAATCTCCGGGGGTCACCATTTGTGGGGTTATGAGATATTGGTTAACACTCAGGATGGGATGGAGAAAAGAAACTCACAATGTGCTCACTGTATACACATTGTATTGGATGTACAATGCAGCTTGTTGCTGGGTAGGTAGCATGGTAATAAACGTTGAGTAGAGAGAGCTGGGTGGTGAGGGTGCCCAGAGGAGGGACACGCGGCTTGAGGGACGCCAAGGTCGCTGGCGGGAACGGCAGCCGCCAGGCTGGCGCGGAGGAGGAGGAGGTGTTGCTTGCTGGTGGCACTGTGTAGAAAGAGAGTGGTCACAGCGGTGTCAGGCCTTATAAGGCGGGGGTAGGCGTGGGTAGATAGTTGACCCCCGCTCCGTGGGCGGCGCTGGAGGCGTAGGCTGGGGAATTCGAGAAGATTCGGTGCTTGAAGGGGAGGAATCCACTACAATACTATAAGTTGGTCTTGACGATATTTACATTTGTTCTTGCACTTTGGACACTTTACTGAGGTCGGGAGAACACCATGAGATCAAAAAAATGCAATAGTTTCTTCAATTTTTTTTCCCCAAAAACTTGCAAGACTTCCACGGTCGTAAATTAATTTGAATTTTGAAATACGAGAGACCCAAAATAGAAATTGAATTTGATTGGGCCAAAAATACCACGAATTAAACCACAAATAATTTTAATTGGTTGCAAAAAAAAAAGCGCTTTTGATTGGCTGTGTGACTTGTACGGGAATGCATGCGCGTGATGATTTATGAAGGAGACACGTAGTGTGGGAGGTGAGGTAGGCGATAATGGCGGAAGATTAATGGAAGACAATATAGAAAATTTTGGATACTCTATCTCCGTTATTATACATTTGCGACGGTAATGTAATAGAAGAAAATTATCTTATAATTAGACGTCTTATTCAAATATGATAATAGATTAGGGGTAGGAATGTCGGGTGCGGAAATGCAATAATACCTTGATTTTTTCAAAGGAAGCTGCCCGGGTAATTTCATTGACCAGTCTCACAATGGCCGTGGTGGAGGTTGGTTGTCATTTGTGCTCATACAATTATTTTAAGTTTAATTCTGAGTTTTACGAGAAAGACGATCATTATATCCAATTCTTACGTATCTCTGGTCCTTTCACTTCTAACTAAGGTATTGTACTTTCGGACATGGCGCACCCCGAAGTTTTTAACTACTGAAACATTTAGGTTAGTTTAAGCGAAACCTACTGGGGGTCCAGGGGCAGAGCCCCCTGCTAGTGGTTTGGTTAGGTTAGGTAATTCGTTTTCGTTTTCTCCCCCACCCAAAACCCCCAATTTCCCAGGTTCTCCCCATCATTGTTGGGGGGAGGGCGAACCAGCAATTTCCGCCAAAAATGAAGATCAGATTCGTTTAATACACAACAAAATACACTGGTAAAACATATTGGTCAACCCCTAGGAACTCATGTAAAGATATGAACATTTACCAGGAGCCTAATAGGACCTGACCTAACCAACCAAAAGAATCCTACCTGACCTTACCAAACTTCTTAGCTGGGTGGGCTCTTCCCCCCAAACCCCCCCTCCCCATATTAAGCAGAAAGGGTTAATATTGATGAATGACCCACCGATGCATTATTTGTTTTCATGTTTATAGTCTTATTATATTTTCCTCAGTGAATTATGATATAATAATCTTTTTCTTTCTTGGAAATTGCTTTCTTTGGTAGATAATTAAGCTACTAGACATGCACTACCTTGTCTGGCGGCTGTTTTCATGTCCACAGAAAATATAAAATTACACCATACCAATGTATGTTCTTTCTGTTAAATATGCTGAGAGGTCCGGAGGGTGGAGCCCCACTGCTAGGAAGTTAGGTTGGTGAGGTCTTCTAACATGCTTCTGCCACTTGCTTTTCTTATCAGTTAAGGTTAAGTTAGGTTTAATTTAGAAATAACCCTTTTTTAATATATTTGCCAAAACTACAACAGTGTTCACTATAAAACTGAATGAAATTACAGCGTTTTAAAATTCGTTTTCTATGAAAAATCGGCGGTGGATCAGTCGTCAATAATTACCAACATAAGGTACACTGTACCTATTTGGTATTGCAGTTTCACTCCCAATTGGGTTACAGCAATTTTGGATTCACCAGAAGTTAAATCTCGTCAATTGCAATAACTTTTTCTCATACCACTTCTGTTGTAAATGGAATTGGTAGCAAAACTGCTATTTTACCACTTATTTTAGTGAAGAATCATATTAGGTCGAACATGGAATTTCATATTTCTATTTATATAGGGAGAAAGAGCAAAAAAGAAAAGAACAATACTTTATACTATTACATTTCCGGCACAAATGTTTATTTGTAGAGTATTTTAACCGATAAGACCTCCCAATTACCAACGAGATGGTAGTTCAAAGTGGGTAGGGCTTTGAAATTGAGGGGAAATGTTGGATAAAATACTGAAAAAAAAACCAAGTAATGACTAGGAATCACCAAATATTACTAAATTTGTTCCACAATATTAGTTGCTACAAAGTGTCAATGAAGTGCATCTTTAATTTTCATTTTGGGGGTAACTTCAGACATAGTATTAATGCTTTCAATGTTGTGGGTTTTTTTTTTTTCAGATTTAATTTTTCATTACCATGTCATAAGTGATAAAAACAAGATTGGAAAAGTTCTGCCAGAACCAGAACTTGATCAAAAGTACAGAATAATTTTGATGTTGATGTAGGGCTTTGGCTAAAGTAAATAAGCTCTAGTTTGAGTTTATTTTGTATTTATAATTTTGTAATGCATATATTAATATTCATTTTGTATTTCATTGGCCATGCCATGCCCTTAGCACCAACCTAACCATGTTGTAATATACAGGTTGAATCTCGATTTAACGGCACTGGATTTACCAACATCTCGCCTATAACTGCAAAATTCAGACATCGTGAATTTGAAGGCCCGCCCATAATTTCCACTAGTTCCTCTACCTGCTTCAATGCTCCCGCAGTGCTGCGATCAGTTTGTTTTGGCATTGAAGTCCAGCCGGTGTTGTGCTCATGTGATCACCTTAAATTTCAACTTTCTTTGCATCAATTATGGCCTCTAAGCAATCTGTCAACTTTGTGAAATCTATGGTGTTGGTTCCTCAACAATTTGTAATTTAAAGAACCAGGAAGGTAAACTCCTTTAAGTACAATGTGGACAGCGACACAAAGAAGGGAATGGAATCGCGAAGCACATGTAATCAGGGAAACACTAAGATTTAGAAAAGTGCTTGATACAATGGTTTCATCAGCGATCTCCCCCCATAGTTTGATTTAATGGCAATTTGGATTTAACAGCGTGGTCCAGGTCTCATCGGTGCTGTTAAACCCAAGTTCAACCTGTATTTTCTTTGGGTTAGGTTGGTTCATCTTTTCTCAGATGTGTCATAAAATGTAGAAGTCATTGGAAAAGACTTTACATGCATTAATATTTCTTAATGTTTAAAAGTTAATTAATGTCAAACATCTCTGTCATGACAACTACTGAAATTATTTGTTAAAAGGAAAATTGCCTTTGGATACAGTAATTAATGAAGAAAAAAGCAAAACCTACCGGTACCAGTATATAAAACATTTAATGGTATGGGTTTACAGTGGGGGAGGTTGGTGAAGTTATGTTAGATTTAATTAAGGTAAGCCTGATAAAGTTGGGTACAGGCAAAGGTAAGCCAGGTTACATTGGATACAGACCAAGGTAAATCAGGTGGATTTAGAGAAAATGAATCTAGGACACATTGAATGCAGGTTAGTTTTGGTTAGGTTACAATGTATTAAATTTTGATAAAGTATGGCTCTGCTGTGTTGGATTTAAGCAAAGTTAAGCTAGATTTAAATAGGTTGGTCAGGTCAATTTGGATTAAGGGGGAGTGCATTTTGGTTAGATTTAGGCTCAGTCAGGTTAGTTACATAGTAAAGTATACCGGGTATGTTTTTATCCAATACAGTACTGTACTCAGTGACTATTCCTTCTTTGCAGGCATAAAGTGTTGGTTCTGTAACAGTATGCTGGATCCTTTCTGCAGTGACCCATTTGATAACTCTACAGCCAACCCCAAGGACTGTAGCCTTGCTGAGGAGCTGCCTCACCTGCGTGGGGTCCCGGCCACCATGTGTCGCAAAATAAGAATGAAAGGTTGGTTAATCAGTATTTGTTTTATTTTTGTTTATTGTCACTGCAGGTATTTCTCAATTTATGATAACTATTTTATTTTTTTATAATGATTGTTCAAAATTTACAAGTTTTTAAGAAGGATATTTTATTTTTGAATTTTCAATACCCTATACATTACTGTACTTTTTTGGAGGACGGGTTGGAAAACATGTAATTACCCATTATATACATGTACAGTACAGTAAATCTAAAAAAGGTGAATGGCAAGTACCTGTACTTGGCATGCACCGGCTCCTGAATGTACTTGAACCTGCTCCAGTGTTGGTCAAGTCTGGCCTTGAAAGAGCTCACACTCGGTGCCGTCACAACACTTTCTGGCAGATTGTTCCAAGAGTTCACAACTCTCACTCCGAAAAAGTTTGCCCTCACAATTTTCTGGACCTGCGGTTTCTTCAACCCTGAGCTGTAACCCCTTGTGGGGCGAGCATCTGCCAGATCCAAGTAAGGACACTCGACTGAGTAGTGCCCCCTGAGATGCTTATACACCTCAATTAGGTTCCCCCTTGCCTGTCTGTAGTATAAGCTAGGCAAGTTCAGGCGCTCCAGTCTCTCAGGGTAGTTGAGGTGCCAAAGTGCAGGCACCAGTCTGGTGGCCCTCCTTTGAACATTTTCAACCAACTGACATTCCCTAGCATATCTCGGGGACCAGACGGGGTGACAGTACTCCAGATCGGGAAGCACATCACTCTTGATGATCGTTACGAGGGAAGGACCGTCTAGATATCTGAATGACCTAAAGACCTAATAATTTATTTGCCTGATTTACCTTCTTCTCGCAATGGCCCGAGAACTTCAGCTCATTGTCAACATACACACCTAGGTCCTTCTCACATTGTCTCAAATAGTGCAGTTTCTTCATCTCGTTGGGACATATGATACACCTCCTTACCGTTGGTACGCCCCAGGTGCATCCTCTTACACTTCATGACATTGAATGTCAGCAGTCATTTCTTCGACCATTCTTGGAGCCCACAGAGATCCTTCTGCAGCTCTTCACAGTCCGCATGGTTCTTGATTTCCCGAAATAACTTGGCGTCTTTTGCAAACATTTGTGTGGAGGAGTGTACAACGTCAGGCATGTCATTTATGAAACAAACAAACAACAGCGGGCACAATACACTGCCCTGTGGTACCCCACTTATAACAGGTACAGATGACGACTTCGTGCCATTAATCACCACACACTGCTTGCGGTCATATAGAAAGTTTCTATCCACGCTAGGACATTTCCCCGAATTCTGTACCCTTCCAGTTTCATTTTCAGCCTTCCGTGGGGTACACTGTCGAAAGCCTTGGCAAAATCTAGGTATATATTGTCGATATTACCACCCCGTTCCAGAATATGGGTCCAAATATCCAATACCTTGAGCAGTTATGTTAAGCAGGAGCGTCCCGGAATAAAACCGTGTTGGCAGTCCTTTACAAGGTTGTTTCGTAGTAGATGTTCCATGGCGGCATCTCTGATAATACTCTCAAGTACTTTACATACTATGCTGGTCAGGCTCATCGGTCTATATTTATTCATGGAGTGACGATCACCCTTCTTGAAGATAGGACTCACATGAGCCATTTTCCAATCTCTGGGGACCTTTTGTTTATCCAGGCATTTACTGTACTGAAAAGGATCTTCAAGGGCTCGGCAAGCTCGTGGCACAACTCTTTTAGCACTCTGGGATACACCATGTCAGGGCCAGGATTCTTATGAACCTTTAGCTTTGACAGTTTATTTCTTATACGTTCTTCTGTGAACACAATGTGGGTCAGTGCTGTGTCGAACCGTCTGTCCTCAAGCGAAGGAAGGTTAATTGCATCTTCTCTTGTGAACACCGAGGAAAAGAAGCTGTTCAATGCCTCAGCTTTATCCTGGTCAGAATCTGTGTAACTACCATCTTCAAGCCTCAGGTCTGATACTCCTACTCACATTTTTAATTTTGACTTTACATAGCGGTAAAACGCCTTTGGGTTTGACTTGACCTCGCTTGCAACCAGCCTCTGGAACTCCTTTTCTGCCCCTTACACTCTGCCTTTGCTTGGTTTCTGACTCTTGCATACATCCTCCTGTCCTGCTCATCTTTGACCTAACCCAAGTCTCGTATTCCTAGAGGCACTGGGTTAGGTCTTAAGTATGTATTTATCTATCAAATGTGTCACTTTACTAGTTATGATATTCAGCATCATGTGACTCAGTGCTCTTGTAAGGACAATCAGCCACCACCCCTCACCTTGAGGGTAGGGGAGATAAAGGACACACACCGTACGTCATAAGTTTATATATCTCTCTCTCTCTCTCTCTCTCTCTCTCTCTCTCTCTCTCTCTCTCTCTCATGTTTTGTTGTGAACAAAATAAGTAAATCAATAATTCATATATAAAGAAAATATGAAAAGGAGTCAATACAGTGGTCCCTCGGTTATCGAATTAGCTCCCATTAGGATTTTCAGTTCGATTAACGAAATCCTTACGACAAACACGTTTTGTTGTGCGCATCAGCTGATCGGCTAGTCCGCCAATACAGTAATTGGTTCTGTGTTTACATTCGTTTCCAGTGGGATAAATATCAAGAAGTTGGTCTCTTAAATATTTCTGCATTTTTTATATTAAAATTATTGGTCATTCTGAAATTTAGTTAACATATTGGATAATATAGACAGTACAGGGAACAATTTTGTGCGCCCTTCAGCTGATTGAATCACCCAACAACGCTTCTCAGTTTAACTTTGTTTAACTTTGAACATCGATTTTGTTGGTCTGTTGAATATTTTTGCATTTTTACAATAAAATTATTGGTCATTCTGAAATTTAGTTCACATATTGATAATATACAGTGCAGAAATTATTATGAAAAATGAAGAAGGCATTAGAACCAATGCACTCTGTAAAGAATATGGCATGTCATCATCGACTGCCTCTACAATCAGCTGTTTGATATGTAAACAAAGCTGCCAGGCATACGACATACACACCTCAAAGTAAGTTAAAATATAGTATTCTATTATTTTTATTTATTATTATACAGTATACTGTACAGTACAGTACTGTATTTAGTTTATATTTAATGTTTTGTTAATTCTCTTACTGGTATACAGTACAGTTGAGTCTGGATTTGCGCGGTTTTGGTTTACGCGTTTGGTCATTTACTCGGTGCCTTGCCAGAATTGAAATGCTTGATTTACGCTGTAAGTTTGGTCATTTACGCGGAGAGCATCTGGCGGTCCTGCCGCACCATGCCATTTTTGGATTCAAACCTCCCGCCATGCTTGGGTAAGCGGCGCGAGTAAGGTTGTTCAGTGTATGTCTCTGTTGCGTTATCGGTGATGTCATATGACGTATCGGACTGTGATTGGGCCACGCATCCTTACCTCCCTCCTCCACTAGCTGTGATTGGTTTAATGTAATATGATGTGCCCTGCCACGGGAGGGAAGAACCCGCTTGGCCGTGTCAGTTGCTCTCCTCCCAGTCACCCCGTGTATACAGTGATCCCTCGGTTAACGAGTGCCTCAGTTTACGAGATTTCGGTTAACTATTTACCTCCCATAAGATTCTTAACTTCGGTTAACGAGCAATCCCTCGATTAGCGATTTTTTACGAGCCGACTTCAACATGTTTTTGCTTGCATTTGGCGGTCCACCAGCTGTAGTATTAGTCTGCCAATACAGTAATTGGTTTTAGGGCTTAAATTCCTTACTATTTTAGTAAATATCAAGAAGTTTATACTATTCAATAATTTTAAAAGTTTAATAATTAACTTTTTTAGTCATTTTAAAAATTATTGAACATAATTGAAGGTCAAGAAACTAGTTTCTGGCATGCCATCCAGCCTGTTAACACACCAGACAGGTGTTAGTCTCTCTCTGTTTTCAGTGGAGGTAACATCTTGCTTGAAACTCTCTTCAACTAAATGCTTTTTTTCTATATTTCCAAGCAAATTATTGGTCATTTTGAAATTTATTTTACATATTGACAATATATAATGCAGTGCAGTGTTGATTTAAAGAAAATAATCTTGAATTACACCAAGAGAACTAAAATTTTATGGGTGAAATGGTGCCATGGGGTGACTTCTCTTCCACCCCAATGCCTTCTCTTCTCCCTTCTCCTCCACCCCCATTCTAATTCCCATCATCATCATGATCATCCAGGAGCCTTCTACATACACACCTCAAAGTAAGTGAACTTTTCTACCTTTTTTGTTGAATTTAGGCAATTTTCGGTGAGCTGGAACCAATTACCCAAAAACCCATTGAAACAATGGTTTCGGTTAACGAGTTTTTCGGTTAACGAGCAACCTGCTGGAACGGATTGTGCTCGTTAACCAAGGGACCACTGTACTGTGTTCTATTGTTCAGATAATCTCGCTAATCTCGTAAGAATGGCTTCCACTGGACCCCCACCACCACAGAAAAACCTTGCATTACCTGGATCCAGCCGCCCTAAGCCAAAGAAGATACGACATGCCCTAAGTTACGAAGTGAAGTACAAGATCCTACAAGATTTAGAAAAAGGAACGAGACAGGTTGATTTGGCGCGCCAGCATGGCGTGAACGAATCTACGATCAGGACGATCAAGAAGGATGCAGCCAAGATAAAAGAACACATGAACATCACATTGCATGCATCAGTTATTCCAGAGTTTCTTGCATCAAGTGGAAAAACAAGGTGTAAAAGGAGATTCATCCCAGACCCACCGAGCGTGATCTTGAGCAGGTGTGGGACGTGCTTGAAGTGTAGGCAGTGTAGGGGGTTGCCGAACAGCTCCTTGTGCCACCCGCTGACTACTATCAAAGGACTGACCATCTCCTTGACTATCTGATTGAACAACCTCTCTCTCTCTCTCAGTGAATGCTCTGTGCTACTGTTAGAGTTTTTTCTTTCTACCCAAGGAGGAACTTTGCTTACCACGCTGTTTCCTTTTAGAACTTGGTCCAGGCTGGGGATCATATTCATCAGTATCACTTGAACATGATATATTATGCTCCTTACCTCTTGATTCTTTCAAAAGATCCCTCTCATAATCCCTTTCACTATCATCAGAGAGAGCATCTGAATCAGTATCAATTTTATCCATTAGATCAAGAAAGTAATTATCATGCCCCGACCAAATCTCATACTGCTCTGTGACATCATGAAACAATACTGATGTGTCTGTGGTATATGGAAACAAAAACAACCCACACAGTTGGCAACACTCGTTATCAGCTACGAGAAACCACTTTGTAGGTAGTAGACAGCTACCAAACAGGGAGGTACACTGCCTGGGAAGATATTGGAAGCATAATGTGTTGTCTAATGGTAGACCCTGCTGCTATATGGCATCACAAAAATTGTGACCAAGTCCCAGGTTGCTGATCTGACTTTCTGCCTCATTTACACACAATTGCAGGGTCTCAATTGTTTCTCTTACTATTGACAACACAACATACATATACAGTATAGTCTCGATTTACGTGGTCAATTAAACCCAGGGAGGTCCGCGTAAAACGAGGAACGCGTAAGCGAAATAACAGAACATATGGGATTAATTGAAATAGAGACTGGGCCAACCCCCAAACTACGGGTACACTTTTTCCGACACAATACGTACGTTGTAGTAAAAATAACATCTTAATTTTATGATGGTATGCACACACAATTAATATTTAAGAGATAATATCAATAATATTAGGTTTTTTAACACTTATATTAGTAGAAGAGATGGTTGGGTACACGGGGATGGGGGGTTGGTTCTGAGGCAGAGGGCAGATTAGTGGCCCTCACCTGTATCACTATCCACCACAGAGGCTTGCAGGGCCTCTTTGTCAAACCCCTCAAAGTCCATATCCTCACTATCACTGACTTGGGCTGGCTGTGGTGGGTGGCGGGTGAAGAACTCGGTAATGTTTTGTTGACTGTGCGACCTTGTGCGCACCCTGCCCGCACCGCTTCCCGTGTAAATAAAAATTGTCGGTCTGGCAAGGTGCCGCGTGAACGAAGTCCGCATAAATCGAGACTAAGCTGTATTGTTTCTCACTACAGTACTAATTGATTTTTTTTCTTTATGGTTCTTTATTATTATTATTTTTGTTATTATTTTATTGTTATTTTTATCATTATTATTTTATTATTTATAATTTTGTATTTTTATTATAAATTTTATTTATCTGAATTATTATTATTATTATTATTAATAATAATAATAATAATAATAATAATATTATTAATATTATTATTATTATTATTATTGCTGCTACATTTTTGCCCCCCAGGCCCGGATGTGGGTCAGTGACCTGTGCCCGGTTGGGCTAATCCCTGTAAAAAACAAACAAAAGAACTCCTCTCTGCACCACCACATTGGAGCGGGTAATTTAAACGCCAGATCACATATACGTGGCACCCATTGTCTACAGAAAAAACTCAGTGGCACGTATACGTGACACCCGAGGCGAAAGGGTTAATCTTTCTTTAATTTGTTTTTGTCACAATGTTCCTTCATGTATGGGTTTTGTCTCTGTAAAAGTAAATTGTGCATTTATTTTCTTTTACAAGTTAATGGTCATTGGCGCTACAAGAGAGACTGTGCACGACTTGGCGAGTCTGGCGTTGGAGGAGACGCTCGCTACTGTATATATCGGACAGGAACCTTCAACATCCACATGGAATACTGCACCTGTAATGATAAAGATGGCTGTAATCCTGCTGCTGATGCTCGGCCCAGCATTCCTCTTGTGTTTACGGTATCTACTGGGGTGTTGATGTTTATTGGAAGATGGCTACTTCGGTAATACAGTACTGGACAATACATACAAGAACCATTCCTTCTTTTACACAAAACAGTACTTAGTTATTTGAGGCTGTAACTTTGTGCCTAAAGAACATGTTTGTAACTGAAATGAAATGAAATTCATGAAAAATTGTATTGATGTAGCTATTGATATTTTTTACAAAGTATTCTTCACATTCATCTTATGGCTTTAAGAAAATTGAATACACTACGTGATATAGACATGTACTGCCATGTAGATTTATGCATTGATAGTCATTACTATTTTTTTATCCTACATCTTAAAGTATAAGTATCGGCAACATAATTTTAATTTTTATGTTAAACTGTACTCATACCTGTATTCATAACTATCATAAATTTAGATTTTATGATAGAACACATATGATAGAACACATACAGTATACTGAAAAAAAGGTACATTCAGATGGAATCAATTACAATGATAGACAAATAGCATCAAACATAGATGTTAGCTGTCTCCCAAGGTGTTACCACTCCAGCTGGAGTATTAGAGCCTACAAATATTCAGTACAACAAGAAATAGCAATACTGTACTGTGATGGCATACACAGACAAGGTGTTTGTTCTGCCATTCCGTGTACATCAGAAAGCAATATGTTTTGCAGTTTTTAAGTTATATGAATCAGTTGATTGCTGAAGGTCTCATCCCTATAAATTAAGTTGAACATTGAGGGTCCCTTTAATACAAGTACAGTACTTGTACATCCAGATATTTTTACATTGTTGGCAGCAAAGGTTAGGAGAAGCCTTAAACTTAACTCACGAAAGTTCATATAAAGTACTGTACTGTATTGTAATTTGGATTTTTGGTAGTACAGTATTACTCTTAAAGAGTAAAGCAGGTAAAAGTGTACATTTGTTTGCAACTTGTTAAGAGTGTATTTGATTGGTTCAAGAGGTTAAGAAGTGTCACTATGCTCATTCTAATTCACAGACTTTTTTTTTACGGGGATTAGCCCACCTAGGCATACGTCAGGGTCTGGGGGGGAGGGGAACGAAAAAGAAAATGAATCATAAATAAATACAGAAATGGAAAAAATAAAACAAATCAAAAGTGAAAAACGATATTTACGGTACTGTATGTTGTGTTGTCAAAGTAAGAGAAACAATTGAGACCCTGCAATTGTGTGTAAATGAGGCAGAAAGTCAGTCAGATCAGCACCCTGGGACTTGTTCACATTTGTGATGCCATGTGGCAGCAGGGTCTACCATAAGACAACACATTATGCTTCCAATTTCTTCCCAGGCGGTAGTGCAGTACTGTACTTCCCTGTTTGATAGCTGCCTACTACCTGATAAGACTAGCATACCCCTGTACTGTTATATGGCATCTAGTACAGTATTAAAATATGTTACCGACAAATGTCGTGGTTGAGTGTTCTTAATTAATTCTGACATACATTAATAAAACCCAGTCAACAAGCACCAATTTACCCTCACTTGATGTCAAGAGTGTGTAAATGACTGCCAGCAATATATATGAGAAATACTGGTGTAATTTTATAGCTTCATGACTCATTTATATTAACCAGTCCCCAAGGTGTTATACCAAGGATAATGTAAAGGTTCTGTAATATTCTGAAGATCAAGACACCTCTGAAATGATCTCATTGGAGAAGTCTCTTGTGATGCACTAAAATTTTAATTTATATATATATATATATATATATTAATACTGTACTGTATACGGTTATATAAAATCTAACTGGAAGTCTTCAACTGCTGCTTCTAATGTTACAAAAGTTTTGAAGTTTGTTGATCAAGAATTTTGCCAGGAATGTTTAAAACAATTAAGACAGGCATGGTGAAGGTAAAGCTGAAACCATTTTTGGTGGTTCCTGACTAAATTTTGTGGGAGTAACTCTACATGCAGACAAAGTCATGAAGGAAGTAAGGCATAAAATATATAGTTGAATAATAAACCAAGGTAATTGCTTTTTTGCAGAAGAAGTTTTGAAATACTGTACTCTGTTTATCAGCACAGGTAATCCTCACTTAAATGTTTGAGATGTTGCTCTAGTGTTTGCACATTGTATTTCTTTAATAAATATATAAACTGAGGAATACCTGTAATGTATTGGGTAAATCTGGATTAGATGATGGTTATAAATATTGCTTCTAAGCTTTATAAACTGAATTCTTGGCAACTATATGTTTCTTAAATGTAAGAATGAGTACATGTGCTTGTGAAAAATACTGGTAATTTTACCGAATGAAATAATACCCATTATGGGTTGCATCATTAGGCCTTTATCCTAGATACTCTTAACTCTCTTCAGTCTAGGTGACAGTGCGACCATTATAATACTATAGAGATGAATTTGGAATCAAAACATTACTCTTTTGCTTTGAGAAAAATTAAATATAATTATTGACTTGCATCTTCAGGATCCACAAAACTGGAAGATAAGAGACTTGTTTATCAGATGGCTAGCCCACCCGGGCACAGAATCATTTTTAATGACCCGCATCAAGGCTTGGGGGGCGAAAATATAATAAAATAATAATTATGATGATGATAATAATAGTAATAAAATTAATAAAAATATAAAATAAAATAACAATTATAATAAAAGAAAATAATATATATTTTTTAATTATAAATAGTAATACCCCCTGTAATAATAGAGCCATAATTAAATACAAAAATAAAAATATCAAGTGAGAAATGATATATGTATGTTGTTTTGTCAATAGTAAGAGACAATTGAGACCCTGCAATTGTGTGTAAATGAGGCAAAAAGTCTGATGAGCAACCTGGGACTTGGGTCACAATTTTTTTGATGCCATATGGCAGCAGGGTCTACCTTTAGACAACACATTATGCTTCCAATATCTTCCCAGGCGGTAGTAGTACCTCCCTGTTTGATAACTGCCGACTAACCTATAGGTTATGGTAGTAGCATATATATATATATATATATATATATATATATATATATATATATATATATATATATATATATATATATATATATATATATATATATATATATATATATATATATATATATATATATATACATATATACATATATATATACATACATACATATATATATACATACATACATACATATATACAGTAGTACCCTGATTTACGCGGTCAATTGAACCCATGGGGTACCGCGTAAAGTGAACAACAGAACATATGGGATTAATTCCAATAGAGACTGGGCCGACCCCCAAACTCCACTTTTTCAGACACAATACCTACGTTGTAGTAAAAATAACATCTTAATTTTATGATGGTATGCCCGCACAATTAATAATTTAAGAGAAATATCAATAATATTAGGTTTTTTCACACTTACATTAGTAGAAAAGATGGCTGGGCACACGGGGATGGGAGGTTGGTTCCGAGGCAGATTATTGGCCCTCACTTGTATCAATTGTATCACTATCCACCACATAGGCTTGCAGGGCCTCTTTGTCAAACCCCTCAAAGTCCATATAAGTCCATATCCTCACTATCACTGACTTGGGCCGGCTGTGGTGGGTGGCGGGTGAAGAACTCGGTAATGTTTTGATGACTGGGCGACCTTGTGCGCATCCTGCCCGCGCTGCTTCCCGCGTATATGAGTAGATGCACCGCGTAAAGTGAAAGTCCAGTTCTGGCGAGGTACCGCGTAAAGCGGGGTATTACTGTGTGTGTGTGTGTGTATGTATATATATATATATATATATATATGTATATATATATATATATATATATATATATATATATATATATATATATATATATATATATATATATATATATATATACAGTGAGTTAATGAACGCCTCGGTTAACAATTTTGTTAATGAACTGCCTTCCATAAGGATCTTCAATTCGGTTAACGAAAAAAATTCGGTTAACGAAGTTCTTACGAACCGACCTCAACATGTTTTCGCTTGCACTGCCGGGCAACCAGCTTTAGTATCAGTCCGCCAATACATTAATCGGATCTAGGGCTTAAATTCCTTACTATTTTAGTAAATATCAAGAAGTTTATACTATTCAATAATTTTAAAGTTTAATATTCAATTTTTAGTCATTTTAACAATTATTGAACATAATTGAAGGTAAAGTGACTAGTTTAATGCGCGGCATCCAGCCTCTTAACACAGCAAACAGGCATTAGTCTCTCTCTGTTTTCACTGGAGGTAACATCTTGCTTGAGACTCTCTTCAACTAAACGCTTTTTTTCTGTGTTTCCAAGCAAATTATTGGTCATTTTGAAATATATTTTACATATTGACAATATATAATGCAGTGCAGTGTTGATTTAAAGAAAATAATCTTGAAATACACCAAGAGAACTAAAATTTTATGGGTGAAATGGTGCCATGGGGTGACTTCTCTTCCACCCCAATGCCTTCTCTTCTTCCTTCTCCTCCACCCCATTCTAATTCCCATCATCATCATCATCATCCAGGAGCCTTCTACATACACACCTCAAAGTAAGTGAACTTTTCTACCATTTTTGTTGAATTTAGGCAATTTTCGGTGAGCAGGAACCAATTACCCAAAACCCATTGAAACAATGGTTTGGTTAACGAACTTTTTCGGTTATGAACAACCTGCTGGAACGGTTGAGTTAGATTAACGAGGGACCTGTATATATATATATATATATATATATAAAATACTGGGTAGTTGAGATATTTAAGACAAACACTTCTTTTGGGGTTATATGAGGAATTACTGTATACAGTGTCCCAATTTTCTTCTGTCCAGGCCATTTATTTGCCTCATATAGCTAGCACACAATATGTTATCCAAAGGTATCAACTGTCTGTCGGTCTGTAACAAATAATTTCTGCTCAACTCCTTTCCACTGACTCGGTGATTTAATTTTGATGTGAAGATGAATTCTGGTAGGCTTTTAGGGGATTGTTGTGCTGCTGCTAACCAAAATAGGTTTGTTTGCTAATTGTTAATGGGAGGAGGGATGCCTTGTTCATGTGTGTATGAAGTAATTGTGATTACAGAAGTATTTGTTTTTATTGTTATTTACTGTGGTTGTATGTATTGTACAGTGTTGAACAAGTTGTAACCAAAAAATTGATAATGTTTTTTTTGTAGTTGCTTGTTTATTGTTTTATTAAATAATTTCTTCACTCATGACAATCCTTTTGACATAATTGTTGCATATTTTACTCTTTGTAAACTTTGTCTGGAACCTAAAAGTTTTAGAAAATACTGTACTACAGCAAACTACTGTAGTTACTTTTTATTACAGTTTACTTTTATTTATAATGAAGTTATGTGATACATATGTTACTGTATCTAAAAACAGGGTCTGACATGAGTCAATACAGTACCTTGGTTATCAGTATGGTCAAATAATGGGTAAATGTGTCATTTTGGTTAAAAGTTTGTTTTATTCTATTTGTGCATCTTAGGTTTTATATACTATACTTCAGAGACACTATTGTGTTGATATTTGAATCTCTCATATTGGATCAAGTAATAAGATGTACACTCTCAGCAAAAACTTCTCAAATGCTATAAGCATTATACAATCTGAAAAATAAATGAATCTGAAACCATTCCAAGATGTCAAGCCTCATTCTGCTTCTTCTCACATCCATCGTGCCCAGGTGTTCGATAGGTTTTTGTTGAGAGAGTACTATTGAACTGATGTTTAGGGTGTGTAATGTTTAGTGCTACTAGTTCACACATACAATACAGTACAGTATAATATAAATATTAGTACAATACAGGTATTATAACATTGTGATCAAATCCGTCCATGATTTTAATTGCAAACTATTTTTTTATGAGAATCATTTTACAGTACGTATAAGTATTTTCAATATAGCATATAAGCACTGAATTACTGTACAGTATAATGTCAGTTTTATAAAAACTGCAGAAACTTTGTAAGCACAATACCAATTCATATGCATTATTTAATACCTGGGCATTTCATTTTTTTGGGGGGGGAGGGGGGGTGGATTCCTGTACATGAGAATGGATCGTGAAAAATTATATTCAGCACAAAATTTTTTTTAATGTACAGTATTCTTATATGTCTACATATTAAATGCAATGATGTTACAATGTTCATTTTATCTTTGTATATATTATTGTAATATTAAATTTGAATCTTTAAATGTGTTTCTTTTTGCTGCCAATATAATATCCTATTGTCCTTAAAGGTGTAAGAAGAGGTTTTCAGATATTAAACAAAACATTTTAGTTTTCTTAAGCATATCTATTTATCTCTTCTGCTTTATAAAGACATGATACCCACATTTGTGTATTTTTCATTCTAAATGTTTGCAATGTAAACTTGTACTTTTCTCACTAATTTCAATCCAATTGTAAAATTTGGACTTATCTTGGGAGGTGACTCAACTAGACACTTCAACCCCCCCCCTTGGAACACATGCAAGCAGGCAGACAACACTTTCCCTTACCACTAATGTAATTTAGTGTAGATTAAGATATATGTTGTCAATATTGTCACCATGTTCCAGAATTTGAGTCCAAACATCCAGCACCTTAAGTAATTGTGTCAAGCAGGAACATCCTGGCATAAAACCATGTTGGCAGTCCTTTACAAGGTTGTTTATTAGTAGATGTTCCATCATGGCATCCCTTATAATGCTCTCTAGTACTTTGCACACTATGCTGGTCAGGCAGTGAGCCTGACCAGTACAGTAATTATTTGTTGAGTGATGATCACCCTGCATGAATATAGGATTCACAATAAGCCATTTTCCTGTCACGGGACCTTTTACTCATCCACGCATCTACAGAATAGGATCTTGGAGGCTCAGCAAGTTCGTTTCACAACCCTCCTTAGCACTCAGGAATGCACCATGTCAGGGCCAGGGCTCTTATGAACTTTTACCTTTAACAATTTGTTTCTTATACCTAATGAGAAAAAATGTGCATCAGCATTGTGTCAAACTGCCTTTCCTCAAATAAAGGAAGATTGTTCACATCCACTCTTGTGAACACTAAAAAAAAACTTGTTTAATGCCTTGCCTTGTCCTGGTCCAAGTCTGCATAACTACCATCTTCAAGCCTCAGATCTGATATGCCCCCAAATGTGATTTTAAT